GCTTCTTCAAAATGTAGCATTTTATATAAATAAAGTTAAGAAACAAATAATTCTGGTATTTATTACTTTAAAAATATCTCCATCGAAAACTATAGTAACTCATTCAAAAGTCACTTATGACCATTTCTGTCTTAAATTTACCCTTGTAAGATCATTATTAAAAGTATCACTTAATGCTATAAAAATATCCATTTAATAGATTAATGAATTTTGGTAACAGTGTAAATACATTTTTATAATTATCTCAATTACATAAAAAATGAGTTACTACAGTCTTCGTTGGACCAGTCGATATGAAGACAGTTTCTGCCTATAAGATGTTTTATTTTTTGTATTTCTTCACAGTATTAGTCCACGATTATTGTCTTCATCTAATTTTCCCTATTTAACTATGTTTGATTTTACTGGAGCTACCCCTGTTCTTTTCATATTCACAGTTTTCCACGTATTAAAGTCTAGAGATTCTTCTTGATGTGCCTATCCGTTACGAATGTTGGCGATCATCATGGCAATACTTATCTTATCTGCAGCAGCACGGAAAAGCTGCACATATGTTGTATTGACTCTGAGGTTCTTTAACTAAGATGTTCTTCTTCTTCCTGGACCTTGTTTTCCAAATATTTTTCCTTGCAGGATGTCTTGAAGGAGAGCATATCTGGATTCATTTCGCATAATATGTCCGAAGAACTGCAACCTTTTGAGATTTGATGGTCTCATTTGTGTCCTCATTTGTGACTCGGTCTGTCCACGGGATCTTAAGCATTCTCCGATATAGCCACATCTCAAATGATTCCAGTTTTCTGAACATATCTTTGTTCAATGTCCACGATTCAACACCATAAAATCAGAGAAGACGTAGTATCGCAGCATTCTTACTTTTGTATCAAGAGAGAGGTTGTGACTCTTGAAGAAGACCCCATCCGATTGAAGGTGGATCTAGCTTTTCCGATGCGTGCTCTAATCTCCTGGTTGTTAGTTCATTCTTCATTTATTATGGTGCTGAGGAAGTTGTAGTGCGTTACTATTTCTACAGGAGATTGTTTGACGTAGAGTTGACCTTCTGATATCCGTTTCTTGCTAATTATCATAAGCTTTGTCTTCTAAACGTTTATATTGAATCCATATTGTCGACTGTAACACGTGATATTGTTCAGAAGAACTTGTAGGCCTTTTAAGTTGTCCTCAAATACTATGGTGTCATCTGCATATCTGATGTTGTTGCCGGTAACCATTTAGTAGAATACCTTTTTCAGTTTCGTGCCAAGCTTAGCACGAGGAGACAAAATACAGCCTTGCCTCAATCCACGCATGATTTTCACACAGTCAATGTGTTCACCTTCAACTCTGAGATTTGCTGTCTAGTCCAGGCTGTGGGGCCGCTCCCGTTGGGAAAATGTTTCTGATTCGGTTTCTTCGCGGATTCCGGTTCAAAAATGTCCCCTTTAAACAAATCTGAAGGGTGCCGGGCGAAATTTTTGGGCAGAAATTGTTTAAACAATTTTTTTAAACAAAGTCCAAAAATAATTTTTTTTAATCTGGAAAACATTTTTTTAGGTTTTTTGGGCATTTTAAACAAAAAAAGTCTCTTGTTATTTTCTCTAAAGTTGATAGTTTTCGAGTTATAAGCGATTTAAAGTCTGAAAAACGCGAAAATACGCATTTTTGAGGATTGAAAACACATATGTAAATTATTATTTTTGAGGTTATCAAGTGTCTAAATTGAAGTTTAAACATTCAACTTCAAGATTGTGAAGAGTAATCGGGGCTTATTTTAATTTAGACCCTTGTTTTTTAATTGTTAAGTATGCGCGTACACTCGATTTTTCAGCCGCCGCGGCGCCGCGCCCTACCGTGCGCCTCTATCGTACTTATGCATAGTTTACATATACTTACAAATAATTATTATTTATTGAGTATATATTTATTTATATCAATTGAGTTATAATATAAATTTCGTCTAAAGTCTAATAATAGTTACATAAAATAATTGTACAAAAGATTGTTAAATAACACACTAATATCACTCAGTAAAAGTATATTTGTTTTCACAAAAATCTAAATCACATCCACATAATGGTACACAGTTGACATGATTTTTCTTGCAGTTGCAAGCATTAGTTTTGCAAGTCTTTTTGCATTTGCACGGTTTCCCAACCCACCACTATAAGACATATAATATCCATATTGTGTAAAATCGAGAGTTTGATAGCGGGAATATATGGCATTTCGCCAAATATATGTTTTAGCGAAAGCTCTTAACAGGGGGGTTCAACTTCAATCCATAAAATGTAATCATTGAATTAGTTACAGAACACACCACCAAGCGCTATTATCGGTAGATTCTGTAGATCACAAAATATTATTAATGTTTTGTGCTAAAATAGCGATGTCTTCATAACTGGCGTCTGTCGAATGTTATTGTCATAATTCTTGAATGTCGAATATTAATTGATGTTGATGATTAAGTATTAATTCAATATTTGTTTTTTGTGTTTTAGTTAAAAGTGCTGTTAGATCAAGGAATATCGTATTTAGGATTAGAATATTAATTGTTTAGTTAAGGCGTGGTATGAGGATATTTGTTTTTGTTTTAAGTTAAGTTAGAATTTAGTACAGGCTTCTATGATTCCTACTCTCATAGCATATTAATTTAATATTATGTATTAATTACAACATGTTTTGAGTTTGATTAAATGAAAATTATTGGTCTAATTTAATGTCTCTGAAAACTATCAGAACTAATTTGTCACATTTATTCGAATATATAAACAGGATTAGAGTTCTCTCAATATTACCAACTTTACAATATTACCAACTGCACAAGGCGTTTGTCAATTAGCAAGCTCTCCAACATGATAAAAATATTGATTAGTACCAGAACACTCCAACGTGGCGCTGATGATCACAACATTTTTTTGTACAGAAGTTGGTTATCTATCCCTCCTTTAATCTATGGCTCTTAACATGTGTTGGTAAAGTGCGTCAGAGGTACAAGGTATATTGGCTAGATTAAATTTTTTTAATTTTAAATTAAATTTTTCAGTCACACTGTCTTTTCGTCGAAGAGCAGCATTTTGTATTGTTATGTAAAAATCTACTTTAGGTTTTTGCACTAACTTAATATTGTTGATGTTATTACAAAAAATACAAACTAAATTTTCTTCGGTAAGTTTTCATTTAAGAAGAGGTACGGAAAAAGACATTTTAAATCCATTCACATTTTTTTTAATAACACATTAATAATATAATACCCCTTTAATGGGGATTAAACAATAGTCTTCCTAATGATCGTTTAAGTAATAACAAATCAAGTATGAGCGCGCGATTGTTAAACAGGTAAAAACTTGCATTTTTGCGATAGTATATTGTTTTTAAACACTGCGCAATTTAAAATTAAGTTCACTAATATTAATATTTACTGCATTGTATTATTTAAATAATAATTTAAAAATATTATTTACAATTGATATAAATAAATATATACTCAATAAATAATAATTATATTGTTCAAATTTGGAAGAAAAAAAAACTATATACGGTTATTACATTGCGATGATTGATTTATTTAATTAGCCCAATGACAATAATTAATACCTACATAAATAAATTATAGAAAAAACTATGTTAATAAACTTCAAGGATTTGTTCGGGTTTTTTTTGCGTAAGTGTATATGTAAACTATGCATAAGTACGATAGAATCGCACTCTAGCGCGCTGCGCCGCGGCGGCTGAAAAATCGAGTGTACGCGCATATTTAACAATTAAAAAACAACGGTCTAAATTAAAATAAGCCCCGTTTACTCTTCACAATCTTGAAGTTGAATGTTTAAACTTCAATTTAGACACTTGATAACCTCAAAAATAATAATTTACATATGTGTTTTCAATCCTCAAAAATGCGTATTTTCGCGTTTTTCAGACTTTAAATCGCTTATAACTCGAAAACTATCAACTTTAGAGAAAAATGACAAGAGACCTTTTTTGTTTAAAATAACCCAAAAAACCTAAAAAACCAGATTAAAAAATATTTTTGCAATTTGTTTAAAAAAAATTGTTTAAACAATTTCTGCCCAAAAATTTCGCCCGGCACCCTTCAGCTTTTTTTAAAGGGGACATTTTTAAACCGGAATCCGCGAGGAAACCGAATCAGAAACATTTTCCCAACGGGAGCGGCCTTACAGCCTGGACTAGTCTGATTCTAGTAAATATTTCTAATTATTTTCAGATCTTGGTTGTTAATTCCTCTTTCTTTTAGTATTTGCATCATCTTGGAATACTGTACTCGATTAAACACTTTCTCGTAATCAACCAGACATGCGTATACGTCGCAGTTAACGTCTTTGCATCTCTGGAATAAGACTTGTGCTGAGAACAAAGCCTCTCTAGTACCAACAGCATTTGTGAACTTGAACTGGTTGGGGGAAATTTGACTTTCACACAGCTTGTAGATTCTCTTATGAATTATCTTTAGGAACAACTTTAGTAGATGACTCATGGGGCTTATAGTACGGTAATCTTCGCATTTTTTGGCTCCTGTTTTTTTGGAAGTGCAATAAACTCAGATTTCAGCCATTCTGCTGGTATTTCTCCAGAGTTGTATATGTTGTTGAATATCTTTGCTATTGATTCGTTGTCCATTATTTCAACTAGTTCTGCTTGTATACTATCAGGGCCTGCTGCTTTGGCATCCTTTAACTGTTTTATTGCGGAACGGCAGAAATGGTCTGAGCGGGATGGGTTGTGGTGGAGGGGGGATGGTCTGGCCATATCTTGGCAGTCGTTTAGCGTCATTCCGTCTGTTTAAGTTGTTAGGCCGTTTTTCAATTTCGATGGCTTCATGAATAATTCTCGATTTTAAGAAGCGGATGGAAGCAATTATTCGAAAAAGCAAAAACCATCGCTTTGAAACAAAAATTGCAGGCAATAAACATCGTAAATTAGACTATATTTCACAAGGAAATAGTTTTAAAACAAATATAAAAAATATTTAATTATTTTAGGCTAGAATGAAAGAGACATTGATGAATATGCGTAATGAAATAGAAAAGAAAGATAGGTTAATAGCAGCTGCGGATAAAAAATTGGAAATACTGCAAGCACAATTGAAAAGTTCAATACAGGGTGTTTCCGTTGAAACTACTGTATATAAAACCCGAATACAAGAGTTGGAAATGGAGCTAAATGACGCTAAAAATCAAATACAGAAACTGGATGCTTCAATAGATAGACGTGATACTTCAAAACGTAGTAGAAGCTGTGAGTATGAAGCTGTATGTGCAATGAAAAAAGATCTCCAGGCTGCCAATGCTGAAAACAAAAAGTTGCAAGAAATTGCTAAAAATATGGCAATATTAACAGGTAAATAAGGGCAGGTAACTGATAAGGCTTTATGATTTGGATATCTGATTTATATCTTGCTTGAAATAGCGCAAACCTAGTAGTTATTGGATACTTAAAACTTAATCATCCAAAAACAAGTTTGATAACATTGTAAGTTTAATAATGGTATTTTCATAAATTGGTAACAGAATTTTTATAATGCGAATGGTTTCTGTACTATTAAAAAATAAAAAAAAAATAACGAAACATTTAGTTATGGGGCATTTAACTTTTAGTTATTGGACAATTCTAAAACAATATATTAATTAACAAGGAAATTTAGTACGAATCTATTTTCTGACCAGTTATTGACTTTGAATAGCTAGTCTGTTATGGACTGACTGAAACCATGGTATGAAGCTAATATCTCGATATTAACTACCTTGGGTTTACTTCTAGCTGAAAATTGGATAAGGTAGATAATATTATTTATTTTCTGCAGGATGCTGTACTGGCCCTCCCAGTTTCGTCAAAGTTTCGGATTGAGTCCTTTCTTACGTATGGAATTGTATAACGATACTGGGTCAACTTTTTCTAAAGTTGTACCTGTAGCATGTCAGGCCTGGTCTTGGCTTTATTACTTTGAATCTTCCAACTTTTACGAGAAAATTTGTAGACTTTTTCCAATTTTTATTTCAAATTTTTTATGTATGTTGGAGATGAACTTTCTTTGTTGAAGGGAGGCAATTTTACGAAAAACAAAAAAAACTTTCAGGAAGCTTTATTGCTCTTTCGGTAATCATCATCGATTGAGAATAACCGGTCACTTCATTTTCATTTAGTCCTACGGCTCACATTCCCTCTAAGGGGAAAATTCACTTATCCCAGATACCTACGGTGGACTTTTTCTGTATTATCGAGCCCTAGTATAACTAGGTTGGTATGCTGGAGTATCTCCCAAAAATTTTTGTCCACATCTAGACGTCCGTGAGTAGTACAGCTTTCTGCCTTATAAATAAATTCATTAGACCCAGATGTTTTGTGTTCCGTAGGAGGTTTTTGGGAATAACACCAGTAGAAAATAGAATAATAGGTACTGTTTGGGTACTTTCCATTCTCCATTGTTTCCTGATTTGTATTTCTAGATCTCTGTACTTGGCGATCTTTTCGTTGTATTTGACACGTAAATTATTGGTGTTAGGTATCGCCACATTAATAAGTGTTGTTTGCCTAGTAATTTTATTAACTAGTATGAAATCTGGTTTATTATGTGTCACTGGTTGGTCTGTGAGCACAGTGCGTTACGTTTTGATGGTAAGGAATATGGTCGGTTTGGAGAAGTCCCAGTTTGTAAGCTAGTGCTTGGTGGATAATATTGAGTCATGGCGTTCTTTATAATCAGCACCGACAAACGCCTGGCAGCCACCGTTAAGATGTTGGATGGTTTGTTGGGCTTGGCATCGATATCGGCATTTATCATTTTTTGAAGATCTTTAACAATATATTTCAGGTAATTTTTAGTTGAAATAACCTGATCCCGACTTGCAAGTAATAAACCCTCAGTCTCGGGAAACATCTTTTCCGATGTTAACCAATACACTGTATGGTCGACATATTCTTGGCTGATCTTATTGAGATATTGCCGATGCAGAGGTTTACTTATCCAGGTGGGCATTTTTCCTACATTATCGTCTACTGTGCAAATTCCTCGATGTAAAGTAGATGTCTCAGCGTGCACTAAGTTCTTAAATTAGCAATCTGTTTATCTAATTGCTTAACTATGTCGATAAGTCCTCTTTTTCCTTGATATCTCGGTAATGTAGTACTCTCTACCGCAGTGGGTGGATGGTGTTTTTGCGCCTTTATGATAAGTGTTTTCACTTTCCGCTGAAGACTTTCTATATCCGATTTTTGATCACTTGATAATACGAAATGAGTAGCGGAACAGGTTTAAGTATTTAATGCCTTAAATAAATTTTTGCTATTAAGATATGACCGATTTTGCTGTCTTACTCTTCGCAGAACAAACTCAGAAGTTATTTCGGTTTTCATTTGTTTATGGTCAATTTTTCGCGCTTGCTGTCATCATCACAGTCATTAACATCTTAGTAGATGTGTTGTGGTTCATAATTGGGCTTCAGCAGCTCGGACAGTTTGATTGATAATATTTCTCCACTGGTCGCGGTCATCAGTTATATGTATTGCCTCAGTATACTGTTTATTGAGAAGCTTTTTAGTAATGTCCGCCCATCGCTGTGGAGATCTTCCGCGTTGGCGTTGAGTCTGAGGCCTTCCTTGGACCACCAACCGCTCCATTTATGGACAACACTCCCAGATATTTGTACATATAATTTTTACCCATTGCCTTGATGTTTTGGCCATCTTGCATATCGAAGCCTCCGGACTAAATCTAACTATATTCATTATACGTCACTTATCTAGTCCAAAGTGCATACTGATATCATTTGAGAAAGTTTCTACAGTTTTTAGCATCTGATCTAGGTGGTTTCGAGTTAAAGCCATTAACAGTGGAGTTTAGTAGCTGAGATAGTGGGTTCATCGATAAACACAACCAAAATGGACTCAGTGAGTCCCCCTAGAAAAGGCCCCGGTTAATTGGAATATCTTCAGTTTCGATATTATTTTCTCTAGGTATTTGAAGATAAATTTTAGTCTTCCACACCGTCATTATATATATATTATTATTAATAATATTATTCTAAAGTGTGAATTTTTTTTGTAGGTGATGAACATGTTCAAAAAATGCTAAAACAATCACAATACGCCGTAAGAAAAGTTGTCGAAGAACTATCTGAACAGTATAAAGAGTGGGACAATTTAAAAAAAGAACGTCGAAAACCTAGATCTGGAGGTAATCCCAACTCTGGTAATATAAATCAAGAAGAAGAATTGAACCAATCTAGAGGTATTCAAAATTCCAATAATCAACAAGGAAAAGAATATAACAGGCAAGCACTTAACCGATCTGGAGGTATTCAAAGCACCAGAAACAATCCACAGCAACAAGAACATCACAGTCGAAGGCAAGAACCTAACCGAAATGAAGGTATTCAAATTATTGGCAACAATCCACAAGAAAAAGAATACAACAGGCTAAGGCAAGAACATAACCGATTTGAAGGTATTCAAAGTTTTAGTAACAATCCACAAGATAAAGAACATAACAGACCAAGGCAAGAATATAACCGATCTGACGGTATTCAAAGTATTAGTAACAATCCACAAGACAAAGAACATAGGCTGAAGCAAGAACATAACCGATTTGAAGGTATTCAAAGTTTAAGTAACAATCCACAAGAAAAGGAACATAACAGATTAAGACAACAACTTAACAGATCTGAAGGTAGTCAAAGTTCCAGTAACAATCCACAACAAATAGAAAACAGGTTAAGGCAAGATAACGATTCTCAAACAAATAGAAAATGTCAAGGAGCACTGGCTGCGCGAATGATGCAATTTTGTAAAAAAAATAGTACTGAAAAATAGAACTTCATGCTACCATATTATATATAAATTTGCATTTGTTTTGTTGTGAGGTTAATTTCATGTACTTAAACAATGTCTTTTAGTAACTGTTCAGTCAGAATAATATGATGACTATAAGAATAAAATTTAATGTGCTGTACTTCCATTTTTAGCTATTATCATTTTATATATCTACAGGACTACATCTTTTTTTCATGAAAAAGTGTTTTAAATTCAATAGGTGTTCTACAGTGAATGCGATGTGCGGAAATACGAATCTGTACTTAGATTTTTTCCAGCACGTCAGATTTTCAAGAGAAGTATGTGTGAAATTTTTCATAAAAACTGCCAAAAATACTAAGAAAATATTTATTTAAACTTTGTTTAATACAAAATTATATTACAAAATTAAGTTGCTCTTAAAAAAAAAGAATTGATTATAATCTACATTAGAGAATATTTGGTGTTTTTGAATAAAACTGTTCTCCTTTTTCATGAAAATTGCGTTTTGTGGTCTTCTTTTTATGGATTTTTGTGATCGAGTCTCTTTTTAAGGTCCAGCAGTAATCAGCCATCATTCCTATATCCCATCTTCCTTGGTAACGTCTCTCCATCACCTTTATATCTTAGGATGGAACCTCTCTCTTTGCTCCCCGCTGACAGCTCCAAAATTTTCGGGAAACTAGTCAACGTGGGAATCCAGAAACTGAAGTTTGACGCTCATATTGCATTTCAGTTTTTTATAATTTTCGACCATGTTGGTTACAATTTCTTTATAGTTTAGAGACTTGTTGACAATCAACTCAAATTTACTAAACATGTTAACACCTGTGTGAGTAAAACATTTCTCAGTCTAAGAACAATTTATCATAATCGCCGCTGTCTGTCATACAAAGTAAAAAGAATACTGTGTAAAAGTTTAGTATTATCAAAATGTGTATTGTGTATGGGCCTTGTATTAGTTCAGATGACAGGAGAAGAATTCAGGTGGTTCAAAATTCGTGTCTTCGTCTGATCTGTGGTGTAAGAAGACACCAGCCTATTTCCCACAAATTTCCAGCATATCTTTTTGAAAAAATTATATACAGAACTGACATACATAATCTCAATACAAGATACAAAAATACAATTAGAGCTCCGCCCACATCGCACGGAACAATTCAAAAATTCATTTACGTATCAAATATCAAAAGTGTATAACGGATTAGCTAAAGAATTAAAATTAAAATCGATTACATCTTTTAAGAAATCTCTTAAATCTAAATTGCTAAGTGACTAAAACATGTGCAACTATTTGATGACCTGTTAGGAAATATGTATAAACTGTGTGATAGTTCTTGGACAATATTTAAATGCTAAATGTTTCTATTAGTTATGGTTTTTATTTGATTGTTACAGAACCTGTAAAAAAATATATTATATTTTTTTTTCTCTTGCTTAAGATGAAAAGCAGAGGTACTGATTTCTTGAAATCAGCACCACCTGATCTTCGGCATTTTTTCTTTCTTATTGTTTTATATGCATGTATAATTTTATATATTTTGTGTATTGGATGAATTTGAAGGAAAAATAAAGACCTTTATTATTATTATTAATATTATTATTTTCCCAGGCTAAGGTCTTTTAAAATTCGTCCCAGGCCATGCTATGTTAAATCCTATTAGAAATAGTGAAATACACATGGCCAAATTACCTTTACTGACTGTGTATATGTAAATACACACGTAGCGGTTTGAACTCAGCCACTGTGTATATTCAGGTATATACATGGCAGTCAAAGTGTTAAATTGACCAAAAGAAAAAAATATTCACTGATCTATAAAAATTTTCATTTCCTTAATCTCATTTTCTACTTACTTATTATTATATTTTATTGTCAGAAAGTTTATTATCGTTGTGCTTGTTACCGTGCTAATGACTAAAAAAGAAACAAAACAAATATTTTCCTAAAACAGTTTTCATTTATAAACGATAGAATCCTGCAGCTCAAAATGAAGATCCCAATCAGGAAAACAATTAGCCGTGTTTAATCTACTGGTTGTTCCATTTTTGGGTTAACTACCGGCGATTGCGTAAAACTAAGTTCCTTCACTCTTCAACAGGACATTTCCCTCCTGGGGTTAAAGGGTTTCCAATGGGAGAAGAGAAAAATCTGTAATATCTTTCCAGTGTCATGTACTACAGATCAATATTTAGCGCATGCTTCTCCACTGTGTTTTCCCTAATACAATTTAAAAACCCACGGTCTCAAATTGGCGGGCGGTGTTGCCAGTGTGAATAATTCGCAGATATTACTATTTATTTTTCTAATGAAATTAATTATTGTTGTAAAATGTAAATATGTTTATATGCAGTCGAACCGATTATAAAATATACAGGCGATATTACAAATAACTTTTACAATCTCGTAACTATAATTTTTAGTTTTTTTTATCATCTGTCCAACTATATTGACCATATTATTTTATCCAAGTGTTATCAATATGGTGACCTACGTTACATTTCCAGTAGTAACTTAAAATATTTAGTTACAATTATTTCTTTGTAATGTTTCTGTATTAAAGCGAACTTCAGGGGACTGGTGGTTTTTGTACGTTGTAGCCAGTGTTCTCTGTAAGCGGTTCTATCGGTTATAATGAACAGGTTGCTATAAAGGATATTACACTGGTAAGAACAGTTAGTTCGTTGTACCTAGGTTTATGACGCAAAAATGTGTTACTTTATCTATACTTATAATAGGTTAGAATAACATATTATACATAACATTTAACATATGTGTTTACTATACTTACGTAAATCTAAATATATACGTACATATAAGTAGTCAATAAAGTATACTCATAATATAACATCTTCTCAAAATCTTTGTAAGTATTATAAAAATGTAGGCATACATATACTATTTATTTTTAAAAAGACAAAGAAAAATATTTACTATTATAATAAAAGACAAAGAAAAATAAAATAGTTATGTATTACAAAAATGTAAATACAACATTTTACCTCAATATTTATTGAAAAAAGTCTGTAATTTTTGTTTGTCGCCTTCCTTGAACTTCTGAAAAAATATTTTTTTCAATTGATGTGGAAACAATCGATAATGATTCTTTCACATTCTGGGAAGTTTCAGAAGTCTGAATAAATGCTCTTATGGTGGAAAAGCAGCATACGCTTCAGCCACAGTAGGGATTTTGCCGAAATCTTCCAATTCTTCATCAGCCTCATCAGTACTCTGTTTGTCAGTAGTTCGGTGACTCAGTTCGATGTCAATATCTGACAGTTCTTCGCTCGTACTTATTTCGTCATTCTCTCGTACATAGACATCTGCAGGGCAGTCAGAACTGAGAAGGGAAACGGCATCCTGCAAATGCGTTTGTGCAATATCGTTATATGTGACAGCAACAAAACTTTCGTTAAAAACAATTATAGGCCTAGTAAAAATGAAATATTTAAATATATCTGATCTTGGAAGCATTATCATTTTCTGAAGATCTGCTGAAAGTTTGAGATCGAATGATATTAGTTGCGATTCCGCATCTCTTTTATAATCTCTCCTGGTAGTAATATATTTATTTATGTGAGATACATAGTTTTCGGACACTACACAATTGTCTGTTGGACTATATGAGTGGTTTCGGTCTTATGGAGATCATATGATGCACAATGGAAGCACTCTTCACAGCCAAGTTGTACAAACGATATATTGAGTTTTGCAATTTCTTGACTATACTACTTATAACTATCCTGGCAATCAAGATTCTTTATTTTTTAGTCATTGTACATATTTTTAATTAAAATATCCTATGGTTGGTATTAGTAGGTCAGTTACAAGTAATTAAGAACTTAATAGAAAATAGTGTTGAATATAACAAGCCATTAGTCATGATATTTGTTGACTACGAAAAAGTTTTCGACACAAGTCATCAAAAGATGTTAAAAGCCTTAACAGAGTGCCGTATAGATCATCGCTATATAAACATTATAAAATACATCTATCAAAATGGGACAGCAAGCGTGAAACTGGCAGATAAAAAGATCAACGTATTTAAAATCAAACGGTGAATGCGACAGGGAGACACAATTTCGCCAAAATTGTTTACAACATTATTAGAGCATATGTTTAAGAACGCAAATCTGAGTGAAAAAGGAATTAATGTCAATGGAGAAATGTTTAGTCATTTGAGGTTTGCTGACGATATTGTCCTTTTTTGCTGACAGAATCGATGATGCAGTATCGCAACTGAAGAAACTATACCTAGCCTCTCTACAAGTTGGATTAAAAATCAACCACACAAAAACACAAATCATGACAAATCTTGTGTTAAGTGAAAAGATTTCAGTAAATGGCATGCATATTGAAGAAACCACCTCTTATAAGTACTTGGGACATGAGATACGCATAGGAAGAGATAATCAAACGTGCGAACTAAGCCGCCGCATAGGACTACCTTGGGTGGCATTCGGCAAGCTGAGCTATGTTCTTAAATCAGAACTGCCTATGTGTCTTAAAAGAAAAGTTTTTGATCAGTGCGTGTTGCCAGTACTTACATATGGTGCAGAGACATTAACACTATGCAAGAAAGTAAGAAATAAAATTTGTGTTACCCAAAGAGCCATGGAACGATCGATGTAAGGCATTTCTCGTAGGGATCGGATCACGAACAAGGAAATAAGACGGAGAATAGGAGTGACAGATGCCATAGAAAGAATTATGACCCTTAAGTGGAACTGGGCGGGGTATATAGCTAGAATGTCGGATAACAGATGGACACAGCGAATAATACAGTGGAGACCGAGACAAGAAGCACATCGAAGTAGAGGTCGTCCACCAACAAGATGGTCTGATGACATAAAACGGATCGACAAAAATTGGATGCAAACAGCACAAAACAGAAATACGTGGACAAGACTGAGGGAGACCTATATCTAGCAGTGGATAGATCCGGGTTAAATGATGATGATGATGATAGTTAGTATAGATCATTGGGAGCATGGTCCCGACAATAATAATGTGCGGTAGGTTGAAAAGACTATATGTTCCACGGTCGGTTGTTTGTCAATAACATTTGGAGCTGTTCGGTGCCCTCGTTAGTCTTGTTTGAGAACAATAGCATTATCAGTTTCTCTAATACTTTTTAAAAATAGATTATTACTTTTGTCATAGCTTGACGTGGCAAGCAAAAAAAAATTCACATGCAT